GCAGGAGGTGCTCCGGGCAGCGTGCTCTCTGACCAGGCAGCCCTTGCTGAGTGCAGCCACTGGGCCGGCTCAGACCAGGTTCCCCAGCCCGCCTCTGAGAGCACCCCAGCTCGCTCTGCACGCCCACCTCATTGGTCTGTGAGGGGAACCTTCCCCAGTGCCCTGGCGGTCACAGCGCTGACACCGCAGATGCCCACCTAGCAGGCGGCTGGATGAGTCAGGGGAGCCCGCGGGGGTACACAGCGGCCTTTCCGGTGACAGGGAGGTTTGGCCCGCTTAGGGAAGCTCCCTGGCTGTCTCTAGCACTTATTGTCACCGGGGGCAGCAGCTGTGTGTTTGTTCTGCTTGTAGAAACCCTCTTGGGGGACACGGGGTCTCCCCCATCCGTGGGATCCCCAGCCCTGGGGAGCTGCAGCCAATGTGAGGGGCCTCGGCGGGCAGGGTGTCTCAGTGTTCCCCACTGCGCTCAGGCCGGCCGTGCCTCTCCCGGCGCTGGCGCTTCCAGGCCGCGCTTTTCCCTCAGGAGCCGGTGGCTGTGCCCTCCGAGGGCAGCCAGCCCAGAGGAGTCCCAAGAGGAAGATGCGGAATGGGGAGCCCCACCATGAGGAGGCACCCAGCAGAGAGGGTGGGCAGGCCCCCACCCCGGCGGACTGGAAGGGGCCATGCCCGACTGGGCCAGCTGCAGAGGTGTAGAGTCGGGAGGGGGACCCCTGCCCTCTGGGAAGAAGCGCCCCGACCTCAGTGAGGGAGACAGCGTCAGCTCCGGAGCAGCAACCACGGCAGCTGTCTCAGCGCCAGCGTCCCCCTGCCTGTCCCCTTGCCCTGCGAGACTGGCCCAGCAGCGCCCCATCCACTGGTTCAGCCTTGTGCCTCCCTAAAAGACCCCAGGCCCCCAGCACCGTGGCCGGCTGCACCCTTGTGAGCCCAGATCCAGCATCTCTCCACTCAGGGCTCTTGGCCCCGGCGCAGTGTGTGGGGCGGCCGAGGCGCTGGGGGGGTGGGGCAGGGGGCGGGTTGAGGGTCGGCAGGGCTGAGTAGCTGGTATCGAGCGCTCCACGCTCGTCTGGGCAACATGAATTATTCAGGTGGCTCTCGTCTGTCCTGACCTCGTCTGCCAGCCCAGAATCACTCAGTGGGCTGGGGGCATCGACTCAGCTGCTCCTCCGGATGAGGTGTTTGGCACAGGCGAGCACTGAGCGCCAGCCCAGTGTGTGTCTGAGTGCTCCGGGAACCAGCCAGCCCAGAGCAGCAGTGAGGTGGGCACCCACTGTCCCCCGGCTGCTCCCCTCCCCAGCCACCAGTGCTGATTCCTGCCCTCTGTTGGGGGGACTCATCCTGAACTTCCCTCAGGGCTCCTGTTCACTGTCTGGGCCGCCCTCACCTGCCCTGGGGTGACGCCATGCCTGCTGGAGTGAGTGGGAGGGTTCACTGCTGTCGTGGGAACCTGCATCTTCTTCCCTGCGCTGCCTCCTCCCCGATCCCTCGGGGGGGCCAGAACTTGGTGCACCCCTGTTGTGACTGCTGGTGCCGCCGTAGACTTGGGGGTGCAGCCCTGCTGAATCTGAGGAAGGAGAAGGCTGGGTATGATTGCCCACACCCTGAGGGGGCGCTCTGGTGGCTGTGCCCGGGAGCACTGGTTCCTTTCGATTTCCCCTGAGCCTGCCTTGGTATTTGCAGGGCGTCCCGTTCTTTCTCCCGGGAGTGGGTACCGGCAGGTGCAACCTGCTGGGAAGGGAGTGGATCATTCAGGAACCCGCCAGGCTTGAATCGTGCAATGCTCGTGGGACTCTGCAGGGGTGGAGGAGGGCAGTGAGGTGTCCTGGTGGTGCTGGCCCTCCCAGGAGTCTGCCCCTCAGAACAGGCCCCAGGGCTGCCCTCGGGGGTCTCAGCTAGAAGCCGCAGCTGCAGATGGCTGTGGTGGGGGGTGGTCTGCCTGCCCCAGGCTCCCGCTGGGCTGCAGTGTGGCCGGGTCTGCTGGTCACGGCTTCCACCTGTCACATGCATGTGTGCCAACAGCAACGGGCAGGCACTCCACCCCAGGAAGGGGCGCTGGAAGAAGGGCCAGGCCGGAGAGGGTAGCCCTGGGGGTGGGGGTGGAACGTACGTAAAGCCGGTGGGCGGTGCCCAGGCCCTGGGAAGCTGGCAGCAGACCCGCCCCCATGCCTCCTGCTTGCACCAGAGCGAGGCATCGCCTGGTTGCACCCCTCCGTGAACAGATGGCGCCCCGCCTCCACGTGCTGCCGATCCACAGTGTCAGGCCCAGGATGGGGACGCCCCGGTGGCGGGAGAAGGGGGGCCGGGGGGCGTGGAGGGGGAGGTGGTGTCCAGCCCGTTGGACCCTTCTGGCAATTCCGTGCCCTTGTAGGATAAATCAAAACAAAATGGGAAAATGCCCTCGGAGCAAGGGCCGAGGTTTGGGCTCTGCCCAGCCCCCGCCGTCTGCCAAGGCTGTGGTGCCTGCAACAGACGCAGATGTGTGTTCTCCCTGCCGCCACCTCCTCGGCCCCCTGTTTCAAGGGAGAGACGAGCGGCGGTCTTGCCAGCCCCCAGGAGCAGCCGCCCACTCCCTGGGCTTGGCTGAAGCTGCCGTCCCAACAGCAGGGCCCCCTCCCCCCACCCCCATGCAGGCCAGCGCACAGAACCGCAGCTTTGACCCAGAGCGTGTGTTTGGCCGTGGGTGGAATTGTCTGTGTATCTCCCTTGGAGACCTCCAGGCTTGGGGAGCCAGGGGCCTACTTTCCCTACACAGAAAGTTCCTGCCCTTCCCGGGCACCTCGTCTGCTCTGCCAGGTTTGTTCCAGGCCTCTGGGGATCCCAAGCCGAAGCCCATCTGCTCTTGCCTGGCATGTACCCGCGGAGCGCCCCCATCCCCGACCGCACGAAGGGCCAGAGATGGCATCCTAGCCCGACATGGAAGGTCACAGAGGTGGGGGTGGGTGGCCAGAGCCGAAGGAGGGGTCCCAGCCCCGGTGGCTCAGACCTCAGGCTGGGGGGTGAGGGGTCCCCGAGCAGGACCATGCCCCAGCTGGGCGGGCTGAGGCAGGCGTGGGGGCCGGGGGCAGGTTTCGTTCCAGGCACCCCAAATGCCTTGGAGCCTGGCAAAGTGTGGGCCTGACTCTGAGCTTTCTCTGACCCCTTCCCCCTCAGCCCTTCCTGCAGCCAGCCTGCCCTGGCTCACACCCCTGCTAACCCGAGCTCGGACTCCTCTTGGCCTGGGGCCACGCCTTGCACAGAGGACAGTAAGGTCTGTCCCCTGCCCTCCCGCACCCGCCACCAGGCGCAGCCTGGAGGAGCCGTGCGGTCCTTTATTCCTCCTCCCTGCCCCCGTCTTGGGTGGGTGCTCCTCAGAGGAGGAGATTCCCTCACCCCGGGAGCCCTTCTGAGGGGCTTGGCGTGTGTGGCGCGTAGAATGGGTCGGTTCCCCCCCGCTTGCCCTGCAGTGCCTGGGCTGCGGTTTTGGAAGAGCCTTAGGCAGGTCCGCTGTCCTGGCAGTTTGAGAAGAGCCAGTGGCCAGGTGTGGAGGCCTCGTCCTGCCCATTGCTGTGTTGTAGGGGGGCCTCATGAGGTGCCCTCCATGGTATCTGTCGAAGGGCTGGGCTCACCCCACCACCTCTGTCCTCCACCTCCTCCATCTTCGTCGCTGTCATCACACCTGGGTCGGGCTAGGCCCGTCCTCCCACTAGTGCAGTTGCAGGAACCTCCCAGGCCATCCCTGGGAAAGCTGAAGCCCAGGCACTGGTGTGTCTGTGCCTTTTTGCCTGCAGAGGGGACAGCAGGGCAGCAGGTGCATCATCTGGCCACGGGTGGAGGATGACTATTGGTCACCACCAGTTCACTGACCTGTCCAGGGATGCCCTCCGTGTTCAGCGGGAGCCTGGTGACCGGGTGTGGGTGCCACAGGGGACTCCCCATTCCACCAGGGAGCCCCGGAGCCATGCGGGGTGCCACAGACCGTCACCAAGCATGGCCTGCCCTCTTGGCGGCTCCCTGCGGAGGAAGTGGTTTGGCTCAGAGCGTTGGTCCATTCTGGGCAAGAGTTTCTCTGGGGGCCTGGGCACAGTCAGTGGGCTCGGTGTGTGCTTGACATGCGGGAGGCCTGGGGTCCGGGACTGGGGGTCTGTGCAATACATCCCATGCATCACCGGGTGTGGAAAAACTCCCATAGCATGTTGACTACGGGGACCCGCCGGGAGCCACCCGCTCCTCTCACTAAAGGAGCCCTGCTCTGAGGCGGGTCTCACCTAAGCCTGGGCCGGGGCGACTGTGGGCCCGCAGGAGGTGGCACTGACCCAGTCGTTCTTGGTCGTCTCCCTTTGACCAGATGCCGGTTGGCAGATCCCATACCGGGTGCAGGATCACCGCAGGGACCTGGACCCAGGAGGTGGGGCGGGCCGTGGGCGTGGGGAGGGGGTCCCTGAAGCTAGCTCGTCCTTTCCTGACAGTGGGATTGGCGGGGGGGGGGGGGGGGTAGGGTGTGCAGGGGGCGTCCAGCCGTGAGGAGCTGCTGCAGGGTGGGGGTGGGGGGGAGACCTGGCTTCTGCAGAGCTGGTGGTCATTTTGCCCAGTCTCTCAGAGTTGACTCTGCAGAACGGGGCCCCAAGGGCCACACTGAATCACAGGAACTACCAGGAGTTTGTCCTAGACCCCCCTTTTCTAGGGGGCACATCCTTCTGTTCCTGGGCCACCCTCCGGAGTGCTGGGGGACTATGATGTCCGTGGCGTAAAACCCAGGGCTCCGTACGCAGAGCGTGTGCCAAGCCTTGGTGCCATCTCCCCGCCCCTGCCCCCCGTCACCCCCTCACTCACCACCAGCTGTGCCCACAGCCGTGCCGAGACACACAGGTCCGGCTGCTCCCCATTTCCCAGGCATCCCGGGTGAGCGTGTGGCCCGGTTGGGGAGGGCGAGGAGATGGGGGCCGGCACTTGGCATGGTGAAAGCCTCAGTGTCACCGTGCCCGAGCAGCACGGCCGTCGTCACACGCACCCCGTCCACCTCGCAGGGCATCTGGCGGATCCCTGTGGACGAGATCGACCGGCCGGGCAGCTTCGCCTGGCACATGAACCGCTCCATCGTGCTGCTGCTCAAGGTGCTGGCCCAGCTCCGGGACCACAGCACCCTGCTGAAGGTGTCCTCCATGCTGCAGCGGACCCCGGACCAGGGCAAGTGAGTGCAGCCCCCCAGGGCCTCCCCACACCAGCCTCCACGATGCCCCACAGCAATGCCGTGAGCACACCGGCCCTTCAGGGCCTGCTCCCCCCAGGCTTGACACCCGACTCCTGGGGGCACCCTTAGGTTCTGGGGAAACATCCCAGTGATGGATAAAGGCCCACGATAACCATCCTGGCAAGGGACCTGGCCTCCGATGTACCCACGGTCTCTCTGCAGAGACAACAGACATGGCATGTGGATATCACCGTGGCTGCACTCAGTGATCGGGGGGTGGGGGGGTATCCCGGCAGGCACATGGGGTCTGCTTTGCTCCTCTGTGCAGCCTTGGGCTGCTGGCGGGGCTCGCTCTTGCGTTCCCTCGTCACTCTCATGCCCATGGTCCTGGCAGGAGCTGGAGCCCAGGGAGCAGGGAGGACGCCGTCCTCAGCCCTCCGTGAGCCCCCCGACCTCTTGTTGCTAGGGTGGGTGGCCAGACCCTGAGGCCCCCAGATCAGCCTGGAGGGAGCAGGCTCTGAGGAAGGCCACTGGGCGGGCAGGCGGGTGGGCTGCGTGAGGGCCGCCGTAGGCAGCGCCGTGGTGTGACCATACCGTCCCCTCCACCCACAGGAAGTATTTGCGAGATGCTGACCGCCAGGTGCTGGCGCAGCGGGCCTTCATCCTTACTGTGAAGGTGCTGGAGGACACCCTGAGCGAGCTCTCCGAGGTAGGCGGGAGCCCCCCCCCCCCCCGAGGGGAAGATTGGGCCCCCGAGCATCTCAGTGCGTGGCCCCCAGGCTGTTCCCTGAGCACTGGCCTCCCCCCGGGCTCCCTGTCCAGGCAGCTCGTGCCCCCTGGCACCACCTCCCCCCATCTTCAGGGCAGGCGCCGTCCTTACCGCTTCACAGCAGAGCCCCCGAGGCCCAAGACGTCAGACTCAGCCACACGCTGCCTGTCCGGGCTGGCTGGGCCTGGATGGACGGAAGGGCTCAGCGGGGCACCCCCAAGCACCCTCTTTGGCCCCTGCTGAGGGTCGTGTGCAAACCCGGCCGGGCCGGCTCTGGAGCAGGGAGCACCTTCCCTGGGCAGAGCTCAGGCTGGCGGGCCTGGGAGCACTGGCAGGGGAGAGCCTGGGGCCCGGGAGTCGCTGCCCCCTGAGCTCTGGCCTCCGCCCTCCTCTAGGAAACCGAGCGCCCAGGACCCAAGGCCTGTGGCGGCCCTGGAGCCAGGATGACCACCGATGTCTCCCACAAGGCCAGTCCCGAGGAGGGCCAGGAGGGCCTCCCCCATCCCAAGAAGCCCCCTCTGGCAGATGGCTTGGGGCCAGGGCCAGAGCCCGGGGGCAAAGCGGGCGCCCTCAACCACCGGCCTGCGGCCACCGATGTTGGGGACAGCACAGACCAGGGTGGGGAGCGGAAGGACAAGGAGAGCCTCCGGGCAGGGCCCACAGAGCCCATGGACACAGGCGAGGCCACACGGCGCTTGGACGTCGAGCGGGCCCCAACCCTGGCCCAGGGCCGCACCCCTCGGGACCGGGGCCCCGAGAACCGGCCCACCGAGCTGTCCCTGGAGGAGCTGAGCATCAGCTCGCGGCAGCAGCCCAGCACCCCGGCCCCATCGCAACCCGCCCCCGCCACCACTGCCACCGCCAAGGGCGGGGGCTCCCTCGATGAGGCGCCCCCGCGGCCCAGCCGCAAGAGGAAGCTCCTGGAGGACACCGAGTCAGGCAAGACGCTGTTACTGGATGCCTACCGCGTGTGGCAGCAGGGGCAGAAGGGCGCAGCCTGCGACCTGGGCCGCATCGAGAGGATCATGTCTGAGACCTACATGCTCATCAAGCAGGTCAGTGGGGCTCCCGTAGCCCCCAGATCTCCTCAGACCCCCCAGTCCTCTCAGTCCCCTCAGACCCCTCAGTCTCCTTAGACCCCCTCAGTCCCTTCAGACTCCTTCGTCCTCTCAGTTCCCTCGACCCCTCAGCCTCCTCAGTCCCCTCAGACCCCTTAGTCTCCTCAGTCTCCTCAGACCCCCTCAGTCCCTTCAGACCCGTTAGTCCCCTCAGACCCCTTAGTCTCTCAGACCCCTCAGTCTTCTCAGTCCCCTCAGACCTCTCAGTCCTCTCAGTCCCCTCAGACCCCTCAGTCTCCTCAGATCCCCCCAGTCCCTTCAGACCCCTTAGTCCTCTCAGTTCCCTCAGACCCCTTAGTCCTCTCAGTCCCCTCAGACCCCTCAGTCTCCTCAGTTTCCTCAGACCCCCCATTTCTCTCAGACCCCTCACTCCTCAGTCACCTCAGGCCCCTCAGTCCTGCTCAGTGAGATGACACAACTAGCGGCGAGTCCTCCTCAGACACTGGCAGGAGACTTGGTTCCTTGTGGACATGGGGGGTCAGGGAAGAGAGGACCTAGTCAGGGCGTGCGCCCACAAATGGAGCAGCAGTGGAGCGGTCTGCATTGGGCCTTAGAAAAAATGCAGACGCCACCACCACCCCGACTCCTGTCAAGGCTGCAGGTGCTGGGGGTCTTCCTCAGAAGTCCCTGCAGCTGCCAGGGAGGAGAGCATGGTCCCTGAGAGTTTGGCCCAACTTGCCCGCCCTTAGGGCATCTGTTTAGAGTCACATCAGGCTTTCCCTGGACGGCTGCGCAGAGGGAGCGTGAGCTATGCGTGAGCACACCCAGAAGCGCCACCACAAGGGCTCCGTCCTCCCAGGCCTGCCACCACCTGGTGGTCATTCCCTGTCGGCTTGCACCCTGGGGCCGGGCTCTGGCCCCCCGCACCTGGCTAGCCACAGCCCTGAGGGCACTGTGAGCAGGTTGCGGGGGGAGGGCTGCGGCCTGCACCCCCTGACCTCTGCTTCTCCCCGGTAGGTGGATGAGGAGGCGGCCCTGGAACAGGCTGTGAAGTTCTGTCAGGTCCACCTTGGAACCGCGGCGCAGAGGCAGGTGAGCCTGGGAAAGGGGCTGTGGACAGCTGGGCCCGGGGCCCCATGGAAGACCCTGACCACCAGCTGAGGAGACCTGCATGGCAGGTGGGGTCCTGGCAGGCCCAGAAAACCCACCCATGGATGGGGTGCAGAGGCTGGTACTTGCCCAGCAGGGTGGAACTTGTTGACCCCGTTTGGGGGTATCCAGCTCCCTGCAGCTGCCTCACCGTCAGGTGCTCTGGTGGGACACCCTGGAGGCATCTTAGACCAGGAGCAAGTCCCTGCAGGAGCCCGGGGTCAGGCCAGGTCCTGGTGTCTCAGTGGGGTGTGGCTGGAGAGCCCCGCAGAGGAAGGACAGTTCTAAGACGGCTCTAAAGGTACTTAAAGCCATAGGAGCACCAGAAAACCCCAACGGCATCCTCTCCCCTGGTCTGATGTGGTGGGGAAGGTGGTCCCCGACCTAAAGGCCGCGAGCAGGGCGGGGGTCACCTCTTGGGGGAGGAGAGTGAGATCCCAGTGGCCCTGCGTCCAGCTGGTCTATCAGAGTCGTCATTAACAACCTCCAGGAAGACTAAGGGGGACAGTTGGTCCCCGGGGTCTGGGTACTGTGGGGGCATGTCCGTTTTGGGATTTGGGGGTGGTCCCAGTCACCATGGCAGTTCTGTACATGCCAGACAGGGCTGCTGCTCAGTGCTGGCCCTTGTGCTGAGGCTCATTCCCGCAGGAGGGACACGGCACCTGTGGCAGCGCCCTCAGAGAGGCCCCGGCTGCCCCCTGCCCTGCCCCCACCTGGCATTCTCGGGAGACAGCCCGCCACATGGCGAGGGCCACACGGCGAGGGACATGGGATACCTGAGATACTCTGAGGTGTCTCAGGCACCCGCGCTCATGAGGGGACCCATCCCTCTTGTCCTGGGACAGGGGATGCTGACTCGGGAGAGGCCAGGTGACCAGGGGACAAGGACACAGAGGCCCCAAAGACCAGGCAGTGGGGGAGGCAGGCTGAAGTGGCCGGGACAGCATCTCGAGGCCTCCAAGACGACTGTCCTGGCCCAGCGGCTCCCTGGGACCGTCCCACCAGGTGCCTGGCACCCTGGAGCGTGACGCCCTGTTCCTGCAGCCCCCTCTCAGCCGCAGCCCCCTCGCTGTGAGTCGCAGCCCCTCTCAGCAGGGGTGAATTGGGCGTGAGGCCGAGTGGAGGGCTGCTGTGGGCTGCACAAGCCCCTCACTTCCTTCTCACAGTCCGCAGGGGACGCACCCACCACCCCGAAGCACCCCAAGGACAGCCGAGAGAACTTCTTCCCTGCGGCAGCCGCCCCTGCAGCCCCTGATCCTGCCCCCGCAGACACCCTCCAGCGGCCCAACGACCCCCACGCCAAGTCCCGCCCTGCGCCAGCCTCCGCCACCGTCCCCTGCCCCCCGTCCATGTCCGCCTCGACACCAGACCTGTCCAGGGACCCCGGTCCTCCCCGGCCACCCCGGCCCGAGGCCACCCCCAACCTGCCCTGTCTGGGCTCAGGTGAGTTCTCTCCCGCCCCCCAGGGGAGCGGCCTGGGTGTCCCAGACTGGGACAAATGCTGCTGACCCAAGTCAGCCATTTGCTGGGGGTGGACATGTCTGTGGCCACTCTGTCTTCCTGTCTGAGGTGCAGTGTGTCACAGTGACCTGCACACCTGGGAGCACAGTGTTACAGTACTCCCGGGGAATGGAGCAGGGAGCCCATATCGGAGTCTGCGCCAACCCTGGCACACGGGTCCCTTTTGTGCCAGTGACCCGCCCTCACTGCCTGCCGGGCCGACAGGGCGGGGCTTGGGGACGGACACCTTTGAGCATCCGGGTGCCCCTGGGAAGGGCAGCCCTGGGGCAGTCGAACCCCCATGTTCTGGGCAAGGACATTAGGACACACGTGGAAGGGTTCTCAGCCACCAGCGAGGTGACTTTCTGGCCTGTCCAGCCAGGAGATAGCAGCATGCAGGGGCCCAGGAACTGGATGACCTGCGGTGGCCCGCTGGGTGCAGGTGCCTCCAAGTGTGGGTGCTCCTCCTGTGTCAGGGTGACGGGGAGTCACCGCCCCGTCACGTTGCTCCGAGAGGGAACTGCATGACAGGACAGCAGACGGAGGGGGCGGGGGGCGTTCCCTGTGCCCCGCCATGTCCCCCTGTTCCCAGCCTGCGGCACCTAGGAGAGAAGCACTGCTCTGCGGGACTGGGGTCGCGTGGGAGACAGGGAACAGTGGCAGGTGGCGGTTTGGGAGCGTGAGCCCCCGCCCAGGGAAGCCACCCTAGACTCAGCTCCTGCCCACCTCAGCTGGGTGTCCCCGTTCTCGTAGTCTCCGGGTCAGGAATTTGGACACAGTCGGGTCTTGGAGACACCTGAGAAGTTGCAGGGCCTTTGTCGCCGAGTCTGTGCCGAGGGGCCACCGCTGGTGCTGACCCACCCAGAGGCCCCTGTGGGCAGTCCTGCTCTTGGGCCTCCTTCCGCAGCTCACCCAGCCCAGTGTCCCCCTTGAAGGGACGTTTCTGGTGTCCTGCCTCCTTCCCCCAAGCTGCACTGAAGGGCTCTCACAGGACATGGGGGTTAGGACACACGCAACATGGACCTGGCAGGAGGGCCTTCCAGCCCACTCTCTGCTGGCCAGCTACTGCCCAGCAGGGAGGCCTGGGACCAGCCCTATGGGGGAACAGGGGGTGTTCTTGCTTTCTAGAGCTTTCGTTTCGTGGCAAGTTTGTTTTGGAGGCCACACGTGGTGGTGCTCAGGGCTTACTCCTGGGGCACAGAGGGTGTTCTGGGGATTGAGCCCAGGTTAGCCACATGCAAGGCAGCGTGCCACCTGCCATACTATCTCCCCAGCCCTCTAGAACTTTCTAAAGGGCCGGCATCGGGGCCAGGCTGCATCTTCCCTTCCTGCTGGTCACCAGCAGGCACAGGTTTGCAGACACAGGACAGGCAGGACACCCTGGCGAAAGCGCAGGTGACAGAGAAGGTGCCGGCCGAGAACTGAAGCTGGGGCACAGTGCAGCGAAGAGGCCCAGCCCCAGCCAGTCCCACCCTTCTCCCTAGGGGTGCCCCACCCTCTTCCCCAGCCGTGCGGAGGGGGTCCGCAAGCCCAGGTGCACCCCGGCATAGCGCCGTTCCGCCGCAGACTCCCGGGAGGTTCCCGTCTGTCCCCGCAGGCCCTCCGGGGCTGCACCTCTCTGCCTCCCCTCGACGAGACCTGGGGTGCTGACTCTGGCGCTGCTCAAGCAGTGCCCTGCCGAGAGGGGGCCAGGGTCACCCGCACTGGGCGAGGGTGCGGATGTGAGTCCCGTGGGAAAATGGGGAGCAAGGAGGAACCTCTGAGCAAAGAGTGCTGCCACCTGAGAGGTGCTCGACCCCCCCCAGCCACCGGGGCCAGGCCGGGGGAAGCCTCCTTCTCCGCAGTACCGACACGGCCGGGATGCTCGCGGCCCACCAGCCCCATGAGGGCACCTGAAAGCCTCCTGATCCACACTGCTGGAACCGTGGACGCAGCCGGGGGCCAGGAACGGGAAACGGACAGTCAAGCCTGTTACAGAGACATCACCTTCCCTCACAGGAAAATTTAGGAGACAAAATCGAGAAGCGGAATTGTTTCATTGTGACTTGAGAGTGTGCCGCGGGCAAGGCACTTGCCTTGCGCGCAGCAGACCTGGGTTCAGTTACCAGCACCCAATACGTTCTCCTGAGCCCCACCAGCAGTTATCCTTGAGTGCAGAACCAGGAGTAAGCCCTGAGCACAGCTGGGTGTGACCCAATAACAAAAAAAAAGAGAGAGAGAATCTTAAGCCTAAATGGGAACTCTAACTTCTCTAGCGGCGTTGAACATAAAGACCTTTATTTTCCATACTGAATTAAATCAGTACCTTAGTTTTAAAAAATCAAGGAAAGAAATCCATCAGATAACTACCAAGAGTCTTAAGAACAAACCTTAGAAATTAGTCACCAACTAATCAGTCACCCAGCAGAGTCCACGGAGAGATGCAGATAAGAGACCAGGGCAATAGCACAGCAGGTGAAAGCACTTGCCTTGCACACAGCTGACACAGGTTCCGTCCCATACGCCCCACCAGGAGTGGTCTGTGAGCACTGAGCCAGGAGTTATCCCCGAGCACCAAAAAAAGAGTCTGCTTCTGGGATATTGTTGGGGAAAGGGCTCTGAACTTCTGGTGACCCAGCTTTTCTTTCCTCTTGAGAGGTCTGCTCTGGGGGCCAGAGAGGGCGTTCCCCCTTCTCTGAGTGGAGTCTGACCAGGCCAATTTCCGCACCTCCGAAGGGGCTGGGGCTGGCTTCTCTAGTACTTCGAAACAAACTCATGGCAGCAGGGTGGGGTCATGCCCCGGCATCAGACGGAAAGGGGTGGCCGTTGCAGCAGTGGCCAGCTGGGGGAGGCCAGAGCCTGCTCATGCAATTCCTTATTTTTCTTCCCTTGCAGCCCTGAGCTGTCACATGCCCCAGTGAGCAGGGACAGGCTTCTCGAGCGCACAGGAGTCCCTCCTGGCCGCCTTCTCCCCACTGACAGGGAGCACCTCAGGGACCCCTCTCTCGGGCCTGGGGAGCACCTCCCCACGTGTCATTGGTCTCTGCCAGACACCCTGCCCCGCAGGCTTCTGCAGGAGGGATGGTTTCCCTGACGTGGAGGCTGCCAGCCAGGTCCTCAGGGAACAGTCGCCCCCTCAGAGAGGCCCAGCAGGGACAAGGGGGTCCTCGAGCGGGTGGGGCAGCCCAGGTGTCCGTCCAGCCAGCCTGGACGGGATGTCCAGTGTCTGGTGCCGACGGGGCTGGCTCTCTGGGCAGAGTCGGGCCTGTGTGGCAGCGGCTCTTGCCCATCAGGAAGGCTGAAGAGGCCAGTGATGCTGAGTAACAGGCTGGCCGGCCGCCACAAGCTCCGTCTCCTCGCCCCTGGGGCCCCTCTGGGCCTTGGCACGACTGCGCCCCGTCCCCAGCCCCAGCCTCGTGCCAGGGAAGGTGTGGCCTGCAGGAGGGCGCGGGGCCAGCCCTCCGCTCCGTCCACTGTGGCCTCCGTCGATTGGGTGGGTCGGGCTGGATCACCTCCCCAGAAGCCGGAGGGAAGCCGGCCTGCAAAAGGGACCACGGTCGTCCCGGGGTCCCACCCCCTGTGTCAGGTACCCCGAGGCCGGAGCGGGATGATTGTCTCCAGGAGGCCCCGTGAGAGGGGGGTGCTTGCGGGAGGGGATGCGCCCCTCCCAGGGGGTCCCTCCGGGCATCCTGGGGGCCTGGCCAGGGCCTCAGCACAGCTGCCCCGTGTCCCCACAGGGGAGGAGCCACCAGGAGGGGCGGAGCCGAGCCCCAGCGAGCAGGTGAAGATGGCCCCCGAGGGTGCCCCGGCAGAGCTGCACCGCTGGGCGGTGGAGGCAGGCGCCGAGCCCACCTGCAGCCAGGGTAAGGCGGGAGCAGGCTCCTCCCCTGGGGTGGGGTGAGCGGGAGAGGCCGGCTGAGGCATCTGGGGGGACAGTGCTGAGAATCCCACCCCAGCCCCCCGCCATGCTCCCTTCCCCGACCCCCAAGGCAGGAGCCAGGCCCAGAGCTGGGGTGCCTGCGTCCAGGGGCCCAGGGGCCGAGGGAGGGACGGGCTCAGCAGACAGAGTGGGGCAACATCCGGCCTGGGCCTCTGTGTCCGGGACCGCACCCCATCGCCTGTCTCCGGCCGTTCCCACGTCTCCCCGGCAGCCAGGCCCCCTGGGGGCTCCTTGGAACCAGAGCGTCTCGAGACCCCGCTCGGCCCTAGAGGGCCTGACGCCAGCAGGCGGGGGCCGGGCATGGGCTGGAGTCAGCCTCGCTCCTTTTAAAGCCATGGGGCTGCTGAGGAATGTGGCGGCCGGCCAGACCTGCGCTTCTGCTCCGTGGCTGTGTGTTCTTGGGTCCGCCACCGAGGCGCCCTCAAGCCTAGGACTCTGGGCCTCCACGTGCGCGTCCCAGGGCACAGTCCCCCGTCCTCAGGCGTCCCTGGATGGGCGCAGGGATGCGACGGTGAATATGCCCTGGCCTGGATGGCCCCATGGGGAGGGGGCCGCGGACGGAGATGATTGGAGGAAGCGGGGTGGGGGGGCACCCAGGTTCACCCGCGTCTCCCTGCAGTCGCCAGTGCCAGGCTCCCCGGCAGCGCGAGCACCCAGCACCCCGAGGGCCATTCCGGCAAAGCCGAGCCCAGCCGGGCCAAGTCACGCCTCCTGCCCAGCATGCCCAAGTTGGTCATCCCCTCAGCGGCCACCAAGTTCCCTCCCGAGATCACCGTCACGCCACCCACCCCGACCCTGCTCTCGCCCAAGGGCAGCATCTCGGAGGAGACCAAGCAGAAGCTGAAGGTGACCCGAGGGTCCCGGGGCAGGCAGGGGGGCGCGGGGTGGGGGGCGCCACGGGCCAGGCCCCCCTGACCGCGGCCTGTCCTGGCCTTGTCTGCAGTCGGCCATCCTGTCTGCCCAGTCAGCTGCCAACGTTCGGAAGGAGAGCCTGTGCCAGCCGGCCCTGGAGGTGCTGGAAACGTCGAGCCAGGAGTCCTCACTCGAGAGCGAGACAGACGAGGATGATGACTACATGGACATCTGAGTGGGCGCGTTGCCCGCCCGCCTGCCTCGCCCCAGCGGGGGCTCTTCCCCGGGTCCGTGCCCCACTGCATGGACGCAGCGGAGCCCAGCTCAGCCCAGGGCATGCAGCTCCCGCTCCGCCCCGAAGGGCCCTGTCTATGAAATCTGACTCTGGTGTAGCCACCCCCGGCCCAGGTGGTCACTGGGTGGGGGATGGCACCCAGGGTCGGGCTCCCCCGCTCCCTTTTTTGGTTTTTCTAATAAAGACGGAACAGTTGTCTCCACTGTTTGTTCACAGGGCACCGGGGCTGGTTCCTCTCCCTTTCCTGCCCACACACCCCCCCTCGTCAGCATCTGTCCTCAGGCACCCGAGGAGTAAGGCATGAGCCTCTCCTGGAAGGGACATGAAGCGCCCCCTCCGCCCACCGGACATCTACGGATGAGTCTCTGGGGTGGATGTGTGAGGGGCACAGGGGCACCCAAATCAGTCCAGGCAGTTGGTCTACAATGCAGGGGGGCCCGGGGAGGGGGTTCTGCGAGGGACGGAGGAGCTGGGGGGAGCTGGGTTGTCCGGAAGTCTGCTGACCCCACTTAACCTCTGACAGGCTGGTGCAGAAGTGGGGGCCTTGGAGCAGGAGCCCAAGGCAGGTCCTCCTTGTTTGAAAAGTTCACCCAGCAAGCCCCCTCTCCACTGTCGTCACCCCCATGCCAGGGACACCCAGCCCTGCCCTCCGTGATTGACCAAGTGCCTCCCGGTGCAGAGGAAGTGCCCCCCTTCGTTGCCTTGGGCCCCTCCTGTAATGGATGTTGCCCTCCAGGGCTCCTTCCCAGGACCCCAGGCTGCCCCGCATGCAGAACCTCACAGAACCTGCTCCTTCAGGTTGCAGCAAGGTTGCCCGAGGCTGGACCCCCGAGACCCCACACCCCAAGACATGGAGTCCCCCCTCCACTCCCGAGTGCCCAGGTCAAGGAGGGGCCCCCAACAGGCCAGCAGCAGGCCTTAGCTGACCCTGTGCCTTGGGCACCCCCCTGACCCCACGGGGCTTCCCTGTGCGGGGTGGGGGGTACCCACTTGGTCCAGGAGAAAGGTGCCTCTGCTCAGAGGGTGCAGCCCGAGCACCGTGGAGGAGATTGTGCAAACCCCAAGGGATAGGGTGGGGCAGGAGGTGTGGTCCAGCAGGGCCAGTGGTGCGGGAGACCTAGCGCCTGCTCTCTGCAGCCCCCTGGGAGCAGGACCCCCTCCTTCCCGCCTGCACAGTTCCCACCCCCCCACCCCCCCCATGAAGTGACTGGCTCCCGCATCCCGCCAGTTTGTGGGGCGGGGTTAGGCTGGCCTTTTAGCAGGAAGCGGAGAAGGAGCTTCCCAGCAACTCTGGGCTGCACCCCTGGGATTACCACAGGCTCGCCCCCCCCCCCACCCTACTGCTCCACTCCTCTCCCAAGGAGCCCCGTCCAGACAGGAAGGGGGTCGGGAGCTGCAGCCTCCGGGACATCCTCTCGTGGGAGATTTCAGCCCCTCCCCTGTGTCCTGGGTCAGTGGGGCCAGGAATGTGCTAACAGGGCAGGTGACTCTGCTGGCACCTGTGGACTTTGAGATGGGCCGCAGCGCAGTGCTGGGCGGGGTGGGGCTGATCCTCCCGGCAGGCGGGCGGGCGGGGCCAGGCTCGGGCCGGGCCGCCGCCTCCCAGTCCAGTGCTGGCTGCTGCGGACTCCGCACCATGAAGCTGCCCCTGCTGCTGCTGTTGCTGCTGCTGCTGACGGCCCCGGGGCCCCGGCCCGCAGCAGGTACGCCCGACCCTGCCCTCTGTCCTCCGGTCTGGCCGTCTGTCTCTGCAGCCTGGCCCTGGTACACGACCTCTGGCCACAGCTGCTCTGTCAGTGATGATCTTGGGGTGTGGGGAAGAAATTCTGGGGGACCACGGCCAGGAGCCATTGATGGAGACAGAGCAGGGTGTGCGGGGTCTTTGTCCACCCAAGGCCCCCTGGGAGCCTGGGGCCGTGGCTGTCTGAGAGGGAGGGGACCCAGGAGAGTCTTGGGCTGCACCCTGAGCCCCCAGGGAGCTTCCTGGCACCTGGAGGAATCGCCCAGAAGCAGGACTGTGGGTCTCATCAGGTAGGACTCTGAGAGGAAGAGCCAGACCCACACTCTGGAGTGGGCACCCTGGCCCCCACATGGCTGGGCTGGGGGACCCCCAGCCCCTGCGGCATCCCCTGCCTGGCCCAACACCCACTGTGTCCTGTGGCAGGGAAATGACAGTGCTCCCCCCACCCCCACTCCCGCCGCCTCTGATCTCACTTTCTGGCAGCTCCTGGCTTCCTCCCCCCCCCCCCCCCCCGCCCCGCCCCGGGAGCCATCTCATCCTCAGCAAATATTGATGCTCTGAGTGCCAGGCCCTTGACGGAGCTGAGTGTTGCCAGGTGGTGCAGGCTGGATTTGGCCCCGCTGGTCCCCCTCCAGGGTGGTGGAGAGTGGAGGGAGGGCCAGGTGAGCCCACTTTCAGTCCCCCACTGTCGTTGCTGGCCAGTGCAACTGCCTTGGGTCCCCTGAAAGTTGGTTCCCAAATTTGCCCTTCTACCCATCTCTCCAATCTGGGTCATGTTGGACCTTCTGCTGGACATGTCCCTCCAAGAGTCGGAGAGAGAGCATGGGGGAAGGTGTTCATCTTGCATGTGGTCTGCCTGGGTTGGATCCCAGGCACCCTATTTGGTCCAGGTATGGCTCCCAAACCAACAATAGAAACTTCCTCCTCTCCCCGAAGGGGGGGTGCAGCCCTCCCTGAGGGCAGAGAGGGTCCCATTGATCTGGGGCCATGCTCAGATGTGCCCCAGCCCTCAGTTGCCTCTTTGCTGATCCCCCAAATCTGGGTCTGGGGGGGTCCTCTAGACTTCAGGTCCATGGATGCTTCAGGGAATGGAGGCAGGTCCCTGTCGAGAGCTTAGACATCTGTGGCATTGGCTTTGGGACCTGATGGCCAAGGGCCAGCCGTATCCTGAGGCCACACGTTGGGGAAATCTGGAAGTGTTTCTGCTGATCACCCCCCAACTCAGGCCAGGTCGCCAGCACAGAGAGTCTCGCAGCCATGGGCCCTGGGTGTCTGGGTGTCTGTGCACCGATCCTGGGGGTCTGGGGGCTGCTAATCTGGGGGCCTGGGGGCGAGGGGCAGTGCAGGCTCCGTGCCCCTTGGCCACGGGCTCAGGGCTCTGTCCTCCAGGCTCCCAGAGCTGCTCACTTCGCTGCGGGGACCGGGAAGGCCCATGCTCCTGCCACCCCACCTGTGAGGGCCTGGGAACCTGCTGCACCAACTTCCGCGAATTCTGCCTGGAGATCTCGCCCTACTCGGGCTCCCTCATGGGCGGCAAGGACTTCCAGGTGCAGCACTTGATGTCGCACGATAGCGACAGCCGTGTGATCTGCAGGTGGGCCACGGGACATGGGGGTCCCCACACCCCAACTCTGAGTACCCGGAGACAGATCCAAGCAGTTGACTTGGATGGGGTCAGAACAAGCAGACTGGTACCGGCTGAAGCGCATTTACCTATCTCCTAGGTAGAGTGCTTACCTTGCACTCGGTAGCAGACCTGGCTTTGTTCCCTGGCACCGCATAGCCCTGAGCCCTGCCAAGAGTGACCTCTGAGCGCAGAGCCAGGAGTAAGCCCTGAGAACCCAAGTATTCCCCCATGAGAGCAGAGAAGTGGAGAGGAGGGGAGAGGAAGGGAAAGGAGAGGAGAGGAGAGGTGAGGAGAGGAAGGGAAAGGAGAGGAGAGAGGAGAGGAGGGCATGGGAGGGGAGGGAAGGGAAAGGGAGGGGAAGGGAGGGGAGTGGACAGGAGGGGATGGGAGGGAGGAGAGGGAAGGGGAAGGGAGGGGAGGGGAGGGGAGGGGAGGGGAGGGGAGGGGAGGGGAGGGGAAGGAGAAAGAAAGGACTAACTAGCTGTATGCATTCCCCAGGGAGGCGTGTTCCAGCACCCACTGAGTATCTTTTATACTTAGTGAAAGTTGACTCTAGGTCCAGGGAGATAGTACTAGGATGAAGGTGCTTGACTTGTGTGCAGCCAACCCAGGTTAAGTACCCCGCCAGGAGTAAGCCCTGAGCATTACTGGACGTGATGTAAAGTAGCAAGAAAAACAAAAGCAGTTACCCTTTATCAGGCAGCTTAGGTAAGAGTAAAGAAAGTTTATTGTAGTGCTGGAGCAACAGTACAGTGGGTTGGGCGATGACTTAACAGGTGGCTGACCTGGGTTCAATCCCTGGCATCCCATATGGTTTTCCTTGCATGCAGCTGACTTGGGTTCAGTCCCCGGCATTCCACATGGCCCCTTGAGCACTGTCAGAAGTGATTCCTGAGTGCAGAGCCAAGAGTAACCCCTGCGCATCGCTGGGTGTGACCCAAAAAGCCAAAAAGTTTTTTGTCAGCAGACGTGCTCTCTGGACTGGGACAGTGGAGAGATGCCAGAAGGAATCTCTGTCTAATATGGTTGGAGAGGGGATGTGTCTTTATTATTTTTTGGGAGGAAGTTTCATTTTGGGAATATCATAAATTTGAGGTTTCAGATATTAGAAATGTCACAGGTTAGTAGGGGGGTCTCACCTTTGACCACGGACTACACAGGGAACTGAGTTTGGTGGTCTCCTGTGAGAGATTAATCCTATTAACTAAACTGGATTATACCGGGAACTAACCGAGTTTGGGGTCTTAGTCGTCAGGACTTTGCCACCCTCCATAAGGGGAAACTTGTGCCATGTCAATTTTAGTCCTTCTGAAACCGTTTAGTTGAAGGAGCCAGAATCTGTTGGGTTTGTCCTTGTGTGAATTGGGGACCTTACCCAGGGTCTTACCCGAGCCCTGCTTGTAGTTGGGGACATGAGCATTTCATTTGGGGCCACACCCAGCCGTATTTGGGGTCTCTCCCTATGGTGCTCAGGACACCATGCGGTGCCAGGGTCGACCTGGCAAGTGCCTTAACTGCTATACTATCTCTCTAGCTACCTGAAAGGGAGTTTTATCCATGAAAATGTTCTGGACGTGGGGCTTACATTTTAGTAGGGATCATAACTGTTGACATAAGAAATTGGGGAAAAAAAAGAAATTGGGGGGAGGGGTTGGGCCACACTCGGCAATGCTCAGGGTTCCTCCTGGCTCTGCACTCAGGGATCACTCCTGGCGGTGCTATTGGGACCATATGGGATGCCGGGGATCGAACCAGGGTCAGCAGCATGCAAGGCAGGCACCCTACCCCTTGTACTGTCTCTCCCGCCCCACCCCTGCAGGTTCAAGGAGAGTGTACAGACCCTGGGCTACGTGGACAACCAGAACGTTGTGCACTGCGTGTCGCCTCTGCTTTACGAGACTGGCCGCATCCCCTTCAACATCTCCATGGACAATGGCATCTCCTTCCCGTACGCTGGCACCTGGCTGGCTGGTGAGCACCACGCTCTCTGGCCTGGCCCACGGGGGGACTTCCCAGGGAAATAAGCCCCGAACACCTGCTGTTCTGGCTAAACAGGTCCTGGGGCGGTGCCTTACCATAGCTGCTCCGCTCCTGTGCTGGCACCCCAACAGTCCAAACACAGAGGGTGCAGGGGGCGGGGGAGGCGCCTGCCTGCAGACTTGGCCAGCCCCAGGCCTAGTGGAGGGGGCCAGGTGAGGCCTTGGTCTCCAGAGGGAGGGCCTGGCTCTGGCCACTAGCCCTCCTGGCCGCGCAGGTCTGCATGGGGCAGTGGCTGCTTCTCTGCTCGGTCCTCTCTGAGCCCCGAGACATCCTCAGATCTCCCCCTCACTCTTTAACCCCGCCCCCCTCAGTACACCCCAGCAAAGTGTCAGCGACAGAAAAGTGTCAGCTGGTGAATGAGACCCGCTGGCAGTACTACGGCACCCAGGGCACCGCGGGAAACCTCTCAGTGACCTGGACCACCACTGACCTGTTCGCACAGGTGGTCAACATTGAGCTGTGGGGGTACCAAGAGACAGGTACGGACATAAGGGCCACAGAAGTGGGTTGCGGTGGGGGGCTTGGGGGGTCTCGGCCTGCATCTGGTCTTTTGTTTGCTTGGGTTGTGTTGGGGGGGCCACACCCAGTGGTCTCAGGTGACTCCAGGGCTCCCGCATGCAAAGCATGTGCTCCAGCCCTCTGAGCCCTCTCCCCCGCCCGGACTGGTTTTGAAATCGGGGACACTCCCAGCGATACTAAGCCTGGCAGCCTCTTGACAGTTCTGCTGCTCCCCAGCACCTGGCCCACACCTGGGCCACACCTGGAGGTGCTCAGGGGACCCTACTGTGCCAGGAACTGCACTCGGGACTCCACCACTTTTGTTGTTATTGTGTTTGGGCCACACCCAGCAGTGCTCAGGGTTTACTCCTGGCTCTGCACTCAGGAATTATTCCTGGCAGGCTCAGGGGACCATATGAGATGCCCATGATGGAGCCTGGGTTGGCCCTCCCCTCCCCCCTTACTTGAGCTATCTCCAAGCCCCAGGCAGGATTTTGTTTTGTTTGGGGACCACACCCAGAGGTGTTCAGGACCTGCTTCTGGCCTGTGGGGAGGGGGAATAGTGAAGGGGAGGGAAAGGGGAGTGGTATAGGGGAGGGGTGGCAGCCTTGAGGGGTAAGGTGTGCGTATGGGGGGGAGGGGGTCCCCCCATGGATTCCTGCTTGGTCACCTGGGAAGTGCTTGGGGAAGTTGAGGATGGATGAGTGTCTTCCCTGAGCCCCTGCAAGGAGCGGACCTCTCTATGCAGCTCGCTCCATGCGGACCTGACGTTTCACCTGTTCCACTAGACTGTCATCTGAGTGCCACTTGTTCTTCCCAGCCTGGGCAGATTGCTCAGGGAGCCGTGGGTCTCAGGCTGGAGCAAGGAACTGCTCTTTGCAGGAAAGGAAACTCAGTCCCAACTTTTCTACTGGTGTTCCAGGAATGTTGCCTTCCCTGGGGGACGGTGGGGGGAGGGGGGAATTAAAAAAAACGAGGTAAAGAGTGATGTAAAATACATTTTGGGGGAAACGAGGGAAGAAAAAAAGAGTTTCGCACTCGAGAGAGCGGAGGCGTGTCCAGAATGGAAAGAGCCAAGCACACATCCCAGGTAGTGCTGCGGTGAATCCCAAAGATGGAGAAAATGCACCATAAACGAAGGAGGTCCCCGGGTCAGGCCACTTGCCCAGAATGGGGAGATGCTTACCTTGTCTTAGTTTCTCTGCCAACTTAGTTTGTATACAGTTGTTTGTTCTTTTGTTTGGGGGGGGCCACACCTGGCAGTCCTCAAGGTTACTCCTGGATCTGTTCAGGAATTACTCCTGGCGGTGCTCAGGGGACCATATGGATTGCTGAGGATCAAACCTGAGTTTGCCCACCTGTACCCACTGTACTATCTCTCCAGTCGATTCATATACAGTTTTCTTAAACTGCCTCTCATCCCCCACATCTGTTACTAGGGCAGTTGCCCAGGAAGGAGAGCTTGGCGCTCTGATGGCCTTCACTGTTCTTAGCATGGCCTTTGTCCAGCAGTGGAGATTCTCCTTCCAGGGGCTTCAGCCACACTCTGGGCCTGGACTTCTGTGACTTAGTGGTTTTCTGGTCTCCTCAAATGGGTTCTGTGTCTCAAAGGCCTTCATGCCTTTAGACTGGTTTGGGTTCCAGACAGCGGTTTTCCAAATACACATTACCTGGACCTCCTCTCTGCCTGCAACAAGGGGGAACACTCCAGACAAAGGCTCAGGGGACCATGTGGTCCTGGGGATGGGACCCAGGCCTCCTGCATGCAGAACAAGTGTGCCAGCCCTGTGGCTTGCTCTCACAGGCCCCCAGGAAGGAGAGAGAAAGCACAGGCAAGGAAGGGAACAGGCAGAAGGACCCGGGCAGCCTGGGAGGCTGAGGAGGCAGATGACTCAGCTACAGGAGCGCCATGGACACTGTCCTTGAACCCGGGTCTATCCTGAGAACAAATAACTGGAGATTCCCCTTTCCCTCAAATCCCTTCCCATGCCCCCCACTCCGATCGCCAGCAGGGAGAACTAGCCTGAGGTCAGAGAGGGGCGGTTAGCCAGGGATCCTGGGGATCATCTGTCCAGCTGCTGTGTGTACCAGCCTCACCAGGGTCTTCTCGCTCAGGGAAGCCCTACTCAGGGGACTGGAGAGCAGAATGGTCATACCTGTACACGCTGGCCAAGAACATCCCCAACTCTGGTCGCTTCACCTTCACGCCCCAACCGGCGCCCCAGCCCTACCAGAAGTGGCGCGTGGGTGCACTGCGGATCGTCAGCCACGATCACTATGAGGGGCAGAAGTAAGGGCACGGGCTCCAGGCACGCTGGGCTGCTGGGGCAGTGCGGGAAGGGGGGGGGTGCCAGGGCCTGGCGGTGGAGCCCCAGCGGGACAGCGCCAGTGTCCTACCCGCTGTCCCTACCCGCAGGGACGTGCAGGCACTCTGGAGCAACGAGCACGCGCTGGCCTGGCACCTGGGCGATGACTTCCGAGCCGACCCTGTGGCCTGGGCCAGGGCCGAGTGCCTGGCCTGGGAAGCGCTGGAGGACCAGCTGCCCGACTTCCTGGCGGAAATACCCGACTGCCCCTGCACGCTGGCCCAGGCCCGCGCAGACTCCAGCCACTTCCACGTGAGCCCCAGCGCGGCGGGCACGGGGCGGGAGGGCACCAGCAGACGCGGGTTGGTGGGGCGGCTGCAGGTAAGGCACCTGGCACTGAGGCCGGGCAGAGCACCTGGCGCTGAGGCTCTGCCGCCCGCAGACGGACTACGGCTGCGACATGGAGCAGGGCAGCGTGTGCACCTACCACCCCGGGGCCGTGCACTGTGTGCGCTCCGTGCAGGCCAGGTGAGCCCCGCCCGGCGGGCGCGGGGAGGGGGAGGTGCGGGGCTGGGGGCTGCGGACTGGGTGGGACGGTGGGCACTCTGGACGGGGAGGGAGGGGAGGTCTCTTTGGGGGAGGTGGGTTTGGGGGGGGAGGGCGGGAGCCCCGGACGGGTCTGTACTGGGACACGCGTTCTGGATGGGCGGGTGAGGCGCGGGATGGGACTGATACAGACGCCCTGGACGGCGCGAGGCCGGCGAGAGTTGGGGGTGGGGGGTGGGGGTGGCTGCTAGGATCGGTGCCTGGCACTGGGCGGGGAAGCGCTGGACCGGGGTGGGGGGTGGGACAGGCGCCCCGCACGGGGGGGGGTGGGGGGGCGGGACTGGGACGGGTGTTCTGGAAAGGGCGGGGAGGCTCCAGGTGGCGCTGAGACAGGCGCCCAGCCAGGGCGGGAGTAGCGGGAGGGAGGGGCATCCCGGGGGCGCGGGGCACGAGTGTGCGTGTATGTGGGAAGGGGAGGTGGGGGGACGGGCCTCTCAACCGAGGCGGGGTAGGGGTGGAAGCCCCGGACAGGGTCGGGGGTGAGGGTGGGGATAGGGGGTGGGACAGGCGCCCTGGGGGGGCAGGGGTAGGGGTGGGGGTGGGATGGGCACCTTGGACTGCCCGGAGCGTGGGCGGGGGCGGGGGTGGGACCCGAGCCCTGGAACCGGCGGAACTGGGACGGGCCTTCTGGAAGGGGCGGTGAGGCGCGGGGCGGGGCTCGGCTGGGCACCCCCTCCCCCAGCCCCCAGCCCCCAGCCCCCAGCACCCGGCGGGCGAGTGGCCCCCTGAGCCGCCTCCGTTGCAGCCCCAAGTACGGCTCTGGCCAGCAGTGCTGCTACACGGCCGAGGGCACCCAGCTCCTGACGGCCGACTCCACCAGCGGCAGCACCCCGGACCGCGGCCACGACTGGGGGTCGCCCCCGTACCGCGCGCCGCCCCGCGTGCCCGGCCTCTCGCACTGGCTCTACGACGTGCTCAGCTTCTACTACTGCTGCCTGTGGGCACCCGAGTGCCCGCGCTACATGCGGCGGCGCCGGTCCAGCGACTGCCGCCGCTACCAGCCCCCGCGCATAGGTGGGCGCCGGCCGGGCGCGCCCGGTGTGGTGGGGGGATCTCAGGCCGGGACCCCCAGACCCGCCTGACCGTCGCCCCGCCCAACCCCACCCCCGCAGCCTCCGCTTTCGGGGACCCACACTTCATCACCTTCGATGGTGCCAACTTCACCTTCAACGGGCACGGAGAGTACGTGCTGGTGGAGGCACAGCTGACCGACCTGCGGGTTCACGGGCGGGCCCAGCCCGACGGGACCACCCGGAGTAAGAGCGGGGTCCTGGCGGGGGGAGGGGGCGTGGCGTGGCGTGGCGTGGGGGCACTACAGCCCAGCGCCCGCCCCTCAGGAGCGCAGACCCGCGGCACGGGGCTGAAGGCGGTGGCGGTGCAGGAGGCCGACTCGGACGTGCTGGAGGTGCGGCTCGGGGCGCAGGGGCAGCTGCAGGTGCTGCTCAACCAGGAGATCTTGCGCCTCGGGGAGCAGAGCTGGATGGACCTGAAGGGTGAGCGCCCCTGCCTCTGGGGGGACACAGGCGGACTCCCGGCCCCTCTCCCCTGCACGGTCACAGTGCCAGGTCATCAAAGCTGGCTGTGGGGGCGGGGACAGGGGCACGTGTCTCCCCTGTGGCCAGAGCAGGCCCCTGTATGGTCACCTGCTGCTGGGAAGTCAGCTCTGGGAGCCCCAGCACCGCAGCTGCGGGGACAGAAGCTTCTGTCGCTGTCCTCGGAGGCTGTGCTGGGAAGGGCAGGGGCCCACAGTTCCCAGGATGGAGGATTGACCTGTGAACCCGCCCTTTCCACCCCCCCCCCCCCCCAGAGTGGTTTCGGCCCAGCGGTCCCTTTGGGGGCTGGACCTCTGGCCCCTCTGAGGGTCCAGCTGGGTGGCCGGGGGAATGGAGTATGACGAGAGCAGAGTTGGCTCTGGTCAGCCAGACCTACCGTCCCCCAGAGTCAGGGTCCCCAGCCCCGGGGCTGCCCTGATCCCCACTCCCCTGCCCAGGCATGTTCCTGTCGGTGGTCGAGGGCAAGAGTGTGTCTGTCATGTTGGCCTCGGGGGCAGGCCTGGAGGTGAGCAACCAGGGCTCCTTCCTGAATGTGAGGGTCCTGCTGCCCCAGAAGTTCCTCAGCTCCACCCAGGGCCTCTTCGGGACCCTCAACAACAACGCCACCGATGACTTCACCCTGCGCAATGGCCAGGTCCTCAGCCACAAGGCCACTTCCCGAGAGCTGTTTCCGTTTGGGGCCGACTGTGAGTGACCTGCCTTGGAGGAGGGCGGGGAGGGGGCAGGGAGCACCCCCCAGCCCCGGGACCACCTGCAGGGCCTGCCATGCACCCCCAGGGGCCGTGAAGAATGAGTCCTCGCTGCTGACTTACGACAGCCCGTACTTGGTCAACACCTTCCTCCGTGGGCCCAAACACGACCCCAACTACATCCCTCTCTTCCACGAGGAGATCACCCTCAGCCCCAGCCAGGCGGCCGACGCAGCGCGAGTATGTGCGAGTGACCAGTTCTGCACTTTCGACATGGTGGCCACTGGGAACGTGGATGTGGCCAATGCCACGCGGACAGCCCACCAGTGGCACCAGCAGCTGGTCCAGAGCCTGAAGCCAGGTGAGGGCGAGGTGGGGGAGGGATGCAGGGGTGTCGCCTGCCCTGGGGCCAAACCCCTGCGCCCCGGGGGCCAGGCTGCATGAGGGGGGAACAGCCAGCAGCTCAGGCCTGTGACCCCTGTCCCACCTTCACTCAGTGGTCTCCTGCGGCTGGCTGGCCCCGCCTGCCAATGGATACAAGAGTGGCATCAATTACCTGGAGGGATCCACCATCAACTTCCACTGTGACAGCGGCTACAGCCTGGTGGGGCCGTCCGTCAGCACGTGCCAGCCTGATGGCTCCTGGTCCCAGCCCCTCCCGACCTGTGAGCAAGGTGAGGCTGCCTGCCTGTTCTGCCCAGCCCAGCACCCCCGCCCTGGCCCCTCCTGACCACCGGCCCCCTCCAGCCCACAGCTACACGGTCCTGCTGAGCATCATCTTCGGAGGCCTGGGTCTGGTGGGCGTGGTCGTGCTCATCTATCTGCTCGTCAGACGTCGGAAGGGCTGCAGGTGAGCCCAGACCCGCGGGCGCCTGCTGGGCTCTCCGGGGACCCCGAGAGGCGCCCCGAGTCTGCTTCTGACCACGTGTCTGTTGCAGGAGCAGCTGGGGATCACAGCCCTGAAGGGAGAGAGCTTGGTCCTCAGCACCAGGTGCCACAGGGCTCCCAGGAGAAGGCCCAGAACCTGTGAGAATGTGCGCCTCATTACTTCAGCCCCCCGATTCCTGCCATCATACACCTGGGACCTGATCCCTGAGGCTCTGACACCTGTGACCCCTCAGAGCAGGACTCCAGGCCCAAGCCACGCAGTGCCCTGTGCTCTGTTCCCCAAAGCACTGGGGCTGTATCCAAGATGTCTGACCCTGAGACTCCTTCCCCTCCTATGCAAATGCCAGTGCCCTCCACAGAGCCCCAGGCCAAGCTGTGGGTGCCCGATGCAGCCGCCTCGGGACCAGGATGGATCTGGGACCTGAGGTGAACCCCACGCTCAGGCCTCTGGATGGGGACTCAGTGCTCCCCACCAATGTGAGCAGAAGCCACCTGGGGGTGCCTCCTCCCGGGGTCCAGCACAGCCAGGCTGTGCCCACTCCAGAGTCCCACATCCGCCCATGGGGTCCTCATACTCGAACCACCTAGGCTGTGTCTTTCCTCCACTGCCAGGTCACTGGGGACAGACCCCTCCCTGGCCTTCATCTCTACCCATAAAGTGGGGTCAGCTTGGTGAGGAAAAGGACAGTGTTTGTGAAGGCTCACTGGGTATGAGGGGGGTGTGTCCAGGTGCAGGGACAGGGCTGGCCTCCCCTTTCATCCCACAGCAAGCTGGTGCAGCCTGATCTGAACATACCCCCTCACCCCTGCCCACCCCCCCCACCCCCTACACACACAACTCTGCCTCTTCTCTGCCTGCTAGTGCCCTGGACAAGTCTGATGGACCATGTTCTAGTCCTTGGACCTTTCACCCAGGGGTGTTCACAAGCTGCCCGGCTGGGTGCCTGGCCCTCCTCTGACACCTGGGGGAACCAGCAAGCACAGGCTGAAGCCCCCTGAATCCCTGGGGAGGGCTGGGCAGGGCGGGGCACTCAGACTTGCGCTGTGGGTCTCAAACAGCACCTGGAGGGCACTGCTGGAGATCAGGGGTGTATGTGTATGTGTGTGTGTGTGTGTGTGTGTGATCAGGTGTGTGTGTATGTCTCAAACGGCACCTGGGAGGACACTGCTGGAGATCAGGTGTGTGTGTATGTATGTGTGTGATGTGTGTGATCAGGTGTGTGTGTGTGTCTCAAACAGCACCTGGGAGGGCATTGTTGGAGATCGTGTGTGTGTGTGTGTGTGTGTGAGAGAGAGAGAGAAACAGCACCTGGGAGGGCATTGCTGGAGATCAGGGATGTGTGTGTGTGTGTGTGTGTGTGTGTGTGTGTGTGTGTGTGTGTGGTGGGGGGACTCCTATGCCAGGTGGGGAGCCAGCAAGACACGGAGCTATGGGTAGAAGGTGTCTGTGGTGGCTAACTGCAGTGCCACAACTGACCACGAGGGGACAGCAGAAGGCAGAACCACGCATAAGAGGGGGCTGAGGCTTCCCTTCCAGGACGAGGAGCTGTTTTCTTACGGCAGCCTGGTCTGTGGGTGCAGGCACCCCGACAGGGCCGTGAAAAGAATGAGGGGGAATTCCCAGAGAGGGGGAGGCTGAAGGTCGTTCCTGGCAGAGGAACAGCCACAGCAAAGGCTCAGAAGAAGGCGGGAAGCTGGGGGTTGGGGGTTGTGAGTGAGGGTGACAAGGGGGCTGCCCTGGGTTTCCAGTAAACTGCCCCAGCCTGCTTCCTTCAGGACAGCTGAGAACCAGCCTCTCCAGGGCAGAAGGGGCCCCAGACACCAGGTACTGCCAGGGACAGGCCGGGCCGGAAACCCCCACCCGACAGGGTTTTCCCAAAGGGCTCCGGAGGGAGCCAGGAGTGTGCTGGGCCTCCGTGAGGGCCTCACGGAGCCCCTCTCAGGGAAGTGGTCTCCCCAAACCTCAAGCCCAGTCTCCTCTCCCTGTGCCATCTGAGCTCTGGGGATCGGAGCCTGAGGATGCAAGTGGAGGAGAGAACTGGAAAAGAACGTAGAGATGTTGACGGAGCCCCCGAGAAAAGGGCAGTGGAAATAAAGGAGAATGGTACGAAGGCAGGCCCCGGCCTCACAAGAGCGGTCACTGCCAGACCCACTGGGCCCAGCTGGAGCCACAGACAAAAACAATCTCAACACAGTGTCCCCCACAGGCCCAAGGGTTTGGGAACACCCACTTCTCCCCTCCAGCCTCCCAGGAGGCCTCCAGATGGCTGGATACAGCGGGAGCTGCTGCCTCAGGGCCAAAACTAATATGCTTCGTGGGGGGGGGGAGGGAAATGGAAGGGGGGTGGAGTAGGGACCCTCTTCCTGGCAGAGATGGGTCCTTCTACCAGCCCCAGAAAGGTGGAGGGCGGGGTGGCAGCTGTTGGTGGGATGCTGTGGGTGGGAGGAGGGGCTGGTCTGTGTCTGCGTCCCTCCTGGGAGCGGGAAGTTAGGGATGCTTGGGGCGGGAACCTAGCTTCAGGCAAACTTCTGGAACGAAAAAGCTTTAGGGTAGGTAGTGGGTCGAGGGGGTGTCTGCCAGCCTCTCAGCAGCCCGCCCTGCTCAGACACCTCCCTTACGGTGCCAGACTACACCTCCCAGCCTGTGACTGAATTCCAACCCCTGTGGTGTGAGTTGGGGGCTGGGGCCACTCCCAGCCTGGCCCGTGACTCCTCCCATAGACGCCTTCTGCTTCTTTTCCCTGCTCCCCTGATAACTGGATTCCCTGACAGCCTCGACTCCCCAAATGTGGAGAACAGTAACCTGCCCACCCCCACCCCACCCCACCACCCCCGGTGCTGCTATGGAGACAAATAAATTCTTTGGTGACCAAGTTGTGGTACACTTTGGGGTCTGTTCGGTGCAGCAGTTGGTCCTTCCGGCTGGGCACTTCTTCAAACGTGGCTGTTTTTTGTTGCTAAGATCAAATTTCTCCCCATAGGAGAAATTCAGGGCAGAGGAGCTGCGAAACTGCAGGGGTGGTTTCCGAGTAGAGCTGAGACACCCACCACTCCCCCCACCCACCCAGGAGGGAAGCTGCTTCCCAGCGCCCCCTTCAGGCCGCACAGGGAAGCTTCAGGCGAGTGGGAGGGGGTGCGGGGCTGTGTCGGCGTGGCTGAACGGAGTGGCGTTGGCCAACGTTCCCTTCCCTGTGTGTTTCGGGCTGGGACGGGCCACAGGAGAGTCCCACGCACAAGTGGGAGGGCAGGAGGGACTCTGAGAGCCCACTCACTGCCTGCCTGCTGACTTAGCTCCTGCGCCCAGGCCTGGACCCAGCATGCCTCTTCCCCCACAAGCACCTGCAGCTTCCTGACTCCTGGAACCTGGTGGCTCCAGCTTCTGCAGGAAACTTGTGGCACCCTTTGCAACAAGAAGGCGCGGTGTTGGGTCCACCCACCCTGGGCTCCAGCCCACGCGGAGAATTCCAGCCAGCTCTCTTGTCTCCTCCATCTGTCTTCATTCCCCACTCCCTGAGACGTGAACCTCCAGCCCCAGCATCAGATGTAGATGCTCAGAGGTCCCTGACAGCCCCCAGCTAAAGGGCCTGCTTCTCTGAGGACCCTGAACAGTATCCGTGTGGAGCTTGTGTGTGTGTGTGTGTGTGTGTGTGTGTGTGTGTGTGTGTGTGTGTGTGATGCTGGGGAGCAAACCCAGGGCCTCACACGCGCAAGGCAAGAACTCTATCACTGAACCAACTTCCTTCCTTCCTTCATTCCCTCCCTCCCTCCCTCCCTCCCTTCCTTCCTTCCTTCCTTCCTTCCTTCCTTCCTTCCTTCCTTCCTTCCTTCCTTCCCCACACTTGGGCGTCACTCCCACCAGTACTAAGGGGACCACACAGCACCAGGGAACGAATCTAGACCTCCCTGCAAGCCAAGCATACACTCCAGCCCTCTGGCTATTCCTCTGGCCCCTTTACTTGCTCCTTAAAGTGTAGGTTATATGTTGGAATGTAAATTGATGCAGCCGTGGTGGGAAAGAGTGTCAAGACCCTTTAGAAAATTCACTAGAATTGCCATGTGACCCGGCCATCTGACAAGTGGGTAAATAGCCTCAGGAAGTGAAAATAGGTTATTGAAGCTGTATCTGCAACTCACATTTATAACCAAGATATGAGTGTCCATCAGTGGTATGTGAATAAGGGTGCAGAATCCAGACATAGACACCCACCCAGACGTGGCTTCTCATACCCACTGCAGGTCATCAAATAATGTCTTCATAATAGCATTAATGAGGGGGCAAATCAAGTCGCAGCAAGGCCACTGCCTGAGATTTGCATGTTCTCCCCAAGTCTGCTTAGTTTCTTTCTTTCTTTCTTTCTTTCTTTCTTTCTTTCTTTCTTTCTTTCTTTCTTTCTTATTTTATCACCGAGAGAAACAGTTACAAGCTTTCATGTTTGCCATAGGTTTCTTTAGCTAAGATAGTTGGCTTCTCCCGCATCCCCACACTGCGCGAGTGAGGATCACTGTGTCTCAGTCCTGCTAATGTGCATGGGTGTGGGTGCCCAGTGCTGCAGTGTCCTGCAGGGTTTGCTCCCTGCTTTGTGCTCAGAGCTGCCAGGACACACTCCAGTCACCAGAGACCCTGAACTGGAATATGCTAACGGAGAAAGAAAGAATGAATGAATGAATGAGTGAGTGAATGAATGAATGAAAAATATTGTTTCATACTAGAATTGCTTTGTATCTATTTTGAAGTTACGTGATGCCTTTTGTGACCAGAAGAACTAAACTGTAGCCTTTGGTGGCCATAAGAACTCAACTCTTCTTTAGGTCAGTTAGCCTACGGTAAATTGCTTTCATTATGTATCGATTAGCATTTCATTACATTATTGTTTCATTATGTATCGATCTAAAAGTTGCAGATTTCAAGACTCAGTGAGCCAGGCCAGGAGAGGACACTGTGTGCTCTAATGCTCATCAGCCGGAAAAAGGAGGATGTGTTACCATCAGCAACATGGACTGAACCGAGGGCATGTGCTGAGATAAGGCAGGGAAGAGAAAGACACACACCATGTGAGTTCATGTAGATGAGAAAT